ATTCTACAGCCGATTGATTCATTAAAAATGGGTGCTGTAAAAGCAGCTGTGGCTGATTTTGTGTTAACATCGATGTGGGTATTTTGTTCATCAACACTTGGGGTTTTCACTTACCTAATTGCTTCTGCTTTTGGAATTGCTCAAGGAATTACTACTCTGTTTATTACTACTGTGCTTCTCTTTATTCTGTTTTTTGTGTTTGGGATTATTGGTGATGCTTTGGGTGGTGCCGCTTTTAATCCTGCTGGTACGGCCGCCTTTTATGCTGCCGGTGTTGGAACGGACTCTCTCTTCTCTGTTGCCGCTCGATTTCCTGCTCAGGTTTTTTCTTTTTTCTTTTTTACTTTTCAATACTTGTAATTTCCACTTGTTACGTACTTGAATTTTGAATAATAATCAAAGTAGAGTTTTAATTTCCTCAATAATCAATCAATCAATCCCTAAGCCCTGTCACGGAGCAAGGAATTTTTTTTTACTAGAATGTCATGGTTGGAATTTGATATTGACTTTTGAACCTCTTTACCACTAGGCTAGAATTTTCCCTGATGGCAAGGGGATTCAACAACTTATATATAATTAAAAAAATATTTATACAATATGATTTTTCGAAGGGGATTCAATTGAACCCCCTCCCCTCTTACTAGCTCCGCCCCTGCCTAAGCATCAGTTTGAACTCGTTGGGGTTGGCTATATGAAGCCCTAAAAAGATTTACTTCCCTCTTTATAAGGAATAGGCTATATATATTTTCTTTTATAAGGAATAGGCAATATGAACGGCTTCATGGTTGTAGCCTTACCTGAGTGAAAAGTTTATTTTAATAGGAGAATATTCTCAACCAAGCATTCCAGTGAAACTATACTTTTACAATGGGCTGTGCCCGAGAACGGGGTTACTTGACTTTATACAGAGAAAGGAATATCAGCAAAAAAGAAGCTCTTTCTAAACCTGATATCCGATAGGCTAAGCTAGGTGTAGCCTGCTGTCTATATGGTTTTGCTTAACTTTGTCAGCCTGGGTGCCTATAATTATGGCAGGCAGCTATTGTACTGATGGATGATGGAAAGAAATCCGTTTATTCAGAAAGTTCATCATGTCGTAATTGTTTAAAGTTGGCCGTTAACCTACCTCTTCCCTCCTTTTAATCTATGCATGAGACTGCTGATGCTAAACTCACATTAGCGGTGTTTGATTTTCCTTAAGAACATAAATTATTAGTGGTAGAGTTCAATAAGATAGAGCACATAAAGTTGCTTAATTTCATAGTTCGTTTAACACAGTTTCATTAAAAGTTGAAGAATTCCGTGAAAGAACTGCTAAAACTTTCAGTTCAAGAATGCATCTGGTTCAAATTGACACCACAGAAAAATTAGAAAGGAGCAAAAATTTACCTGTAAGAATGACCATCCGATTCTTGATATTTCGAAAATATTTCTTAACCGTCTGGGTACTGTTACAGGCAGCTGGCGCAGTTGCTGGTGCATTGGCGATATTGGAGGTTATTCCTACGCAGTACAAGCACATGCTAGGTGGGCCTTCATTGAAAGTTGACTTGCATAACGGAGCCATTGCTGAGGGCATCTTGACTTTCACAATGACCTTTCTGGTCTTTCTTATTGTACTGAGGGGTCCTAGAAATGCACTTCTAAAGAATTGGTTACTTGCAATGTCAACTGTTACCATGGTAGTTACAGGTTCAAAATACACCGGACCGTCTATGAATCCAGCCAATGTAAGTACTAGCTCTTGTTTTCCAGTCTTAAATCTTGGAGCTTATTGCATTATTTTACCTTTGAACTGTACTAGCTCTTGTTTTCCAGTCTTAAATCTTGGAGCTTATTGCATTATTTTACCTTTGAACTGTACTAGCTCTTGTTTTCCAGTCTTAAATCTTGGAGCTTATTGCATTATTTTATCTTTGAACTTCTCTGCTACTCTAGGCTGACGTTGTACCATTTGTTTGTCCGTAATGTATACACAGAATGTATAACGTTTTGATAGTTTCTCTTGTGCATTTGTGTTTGACTGTCTTTATTCATGAATCCTACTTGTTATCTCGCTTCTTCTCGATTGGAAAGTTACATCTTCTTTTGACATTAGTGAGCCAGAATTAGTTCCTGTGGTTTGAGGTAAAATTGGTGGCATGACTTGTAATAGAAGGGGAGAGAAGTTCAATCTAATTCTTTTAAATCAAGAGATGCCTAAGACTGAAAGTTGTTAATTTATCGCTATTGTTTCAATACCTATAAGCTAACTTCTCTTGGAAACAAGACCCTTTCAACTCTCAAATTAGTGCCTTGGAACCATAATAGATCTTCAGTCCCATCTTAAATCTCATCCTTTACCTGCCTCCAAAGTTTCCTTGGCTTGGACCTATTTCATTTGTCTGGAAGAGGACCAATTAAATTTGAGTCATTTCTTGGTGATTTTTCCATGTTGAACCTGTTTTTTATTTGCTTGTTATCTGAAGTACACATCATTATAGCATCTATATTTGGTATTGTAACATTGGGAATGTGAGTTATGGTAAAAATTGGATGATCTTATGGATATGTGCTCCATTTGGTTTAGTAATGGTTTGTTGGTTGGACAATTGGAGCGTGAATGCTAGATTCTTCTGAAATTGATTTGCCTAGGCTGTTAATAAAAGGAGCTCTCTATGGTCACCAAGGTGTATCTCTTGCTATTTGGTTGAATAACTTTCTATATGAGCAGAAACTTTGTCTGGTAGATGCTATATTTTATTTTCTCGATAAGCTCTTTTCATTTTACTCATTATTTTCATATCTTTACATTGCAACGAATGAATTCTTTGGTCATAGTCCCAAAGAACAAAATATTAGGAACATATGCCTTTCAATCTGAACTGTTTTAATTTAGGGAACATTAACTATTTGAACCTTGTGTATGCATGTATTTGCCTCATCCTCATGGAATAATATAATGATGGAAAATGGATTTAGACAAACATTACGTACCATTTGTCCTCTAACCTAAACTGTGTTATCCGTCGATCTAAGCAATCATATTTCTTTGCTGTATTGGGCTGCGATTTACTGTTGCCTTTTTTAGGTAGCTTTGTCACACAAATCATAGATCTCTATTTGCATTGATTCTACTGGCTAACGACTGGTTGCAATCATTTCTGCCATTGCAAATCTCAAATGCTACTTCTTTTTTGTGGGATGGGAATGAGTCCAATCCAAGAATCTAGTAAAGATGACCAACCAAGCTAACCACATGACCCTGCATTTTCTGTAACAACCGTTAGTTTCCTAGTTGGGTATCTTATGCCTTACCTTGAACTTAAATAGTTCTCCTTGCATATAAGTATTACCTTTTGCATGTTAATTTGTGTAGCTTGACGACTAGCTGTAGGACACTGAATTAGGAGATATTAGCTTTTGCAGGGAAGGAAGTTTTTCTTTTCTTCAATATCAATTTCATATGCAAGTAATCATCAAATTATCCTTTTCTGTACTATTTTTGGTACTCCAAAGTGATAGCAACTGGTGGCTGTTAGATGAGATATTGTTAGCTCTACTCTTTGATAAACTGAACGCTATCCATATTTGTACACTATTTAGTTTCACAGACGCTCCCCCTATATCAATTTTTGAACCTTTTCTCTTGTAATTACAAATATGTAAAATTGAATTTTTAGAGAGTAACTCAAAGTGTCAAATCTTTTGGAATGTTCCGAAATGGAGACTCTTTCATGTCTAGTCCAAGGGTAGTAAATGTTTTATTGAACACATGCTGCTTTACATATAGACACTGCTGTAGCAATTTATGCTCTTTTCATTTTTTGCCTGCATAATTTATTAATCGGTTCGTAACTGAGCTGATTGTTTGCAGGCATTTGGTTGGGCGTACATAAACAATTGGCACAACACATGGGAGCAATTTTACGTCTACTGGATCTGTCCCTTCGTAGGGGCAATAATGGCTGCATGGACTTTTCGTGCTCTGTTTCCACCTCCAGTAAAGCAGAAGCCTCAGAAGGCAAAGAAAAATTGAGAAGAACCTTCTGCTTCAATTACTTCATTAAACTAGGTTGCAATGTGGTTGAAGTATGCCCTTAAAGCTGAAAGCCATTTTTAACTTCTAATGTGGAATCATAATGGATTCCTTTTGGATTTGTTGGAATTGTTAATAAACCCCCTTTTTTCACATTGTCCAAATTCAAGCAACTATTATTGCAAAAACTGAGTTGTCCAAAGTTGGATTCCCCTGATTATGTTCTTGTGCTTCTTTAGATATTTCCTTCGTGCTGTTTGAATGGTATGCTTGTGAGTTAAATTGGATAATTCTTTCAATAGTACTTTGCATATTTTATCAAGTCTAACAAGGATCATCTCTGGACTTTGCCCTTGGACCAAGTTCAATCAGGTGAAAGTTGGAACAAGTATTTCTACTCAGCAAGGTGGCATACTTTTGGATCAATGATATTAGCACTAGTAGTTTCCGCTTTTATTAATAAAAAAATTTGAATCATTTTCCTGGTCCAGTTGTGTATTTTCCTGGGTTTTGTTTAAATACTGACTAATATTGAAAGTAGAGTTATAGTTTTCCATGTGAACAGTAAAACAATACATCAGTAGTTGCGATTGGCTTATGGAAGCAATAAAAAGACCACTTTCTATCTTTTCCAGAACAAAAATCAAAACCTAACATTGCTATTCTAATCACCACTTGCGTCATTATTCCTATATGTGTTATCTACTTTCTGTGTTGGTATATCAGTGTATTTTACTTATAATACTATTATTGTTATTAGTAGTAGTACTAGTGGTAAGCACTGATGCTTTGTTTATAATTAAATAAAAAAAAAAGAGGCAAAATTTCAATGACTGGCCGGAGAGTACTGATTGACGACACAGCTGCTCCATGTAATTAAATTTTGCTGCATCAAATGTTGTTTGTGAATAATCTAGTGAGTGTTGTTAATTTGAGTTTTTCTTTTCCCTTCTGGTAATCAAGATATTTTATTAATCACCAAGTAAATAGTTACAAATCCACAGCTAGATAGACACAACTAGCTGTCTCAAAACAATACCAGTAGAACAAAAAGCAATGCTAATCTACTACTAAGAGAATATGAAGCACACGGGAGAGTTTCTTCAATTCCCTAGAGTGAAAAACAAAGGTCCTAACAACTCAAAGATTAACCAACTAAAATAACAAAGACTGCATCAATCTTCTAATACCAACAGAAGCCAGTTTCTGCTTGTCCCCAAAAGCAATGGTTCCCCAAAAATACATAACGTAGATCCGCCATTGCCAAATGCTGCTCCAACATAGTAGCTGTGTGGTGCTGCCACTTAAGCCATACAAGTATTCTAGCCCTCACATTCCACAAACAGGTGAACCCTTGACTCATCTGTTTCCCGTGCAAAAGTAACCACATAGTAAGTCCAGATTTTGGTCTAGAACCATTGAACCTTCAAGAAACGGGGAACAAGTATAGCACAGAAGTAGTTGCATACTTAGCCACCTAATGCCAAATGGCTAGAGTAACAGCAATGGCTAAAAGTAGTAGTAGCACACCATCCCCTCCTGGTAGGATGCCTAACCTGTTGAAAAGTTAACACCACATAAAATGTCAGTAAAATTTCATGCTATTGTTTTTGCTGTGTATTAGACAACTTATAATGAGTTGAAATCATAATTGGTTTCTTATTTCTATAGCATAGTCTCTTCCTTTTATCGATTCTCGTATCTTTCTATAATTAGTAGTGGCATACCTGAGCTTTTTCCTGGACTGATAAATGTATGTCATCACCGGAGGAAGGATGCCAAACAGAAAGCAGTTTGCATAAATCCCGGCAAAATCAAGAGCTCTTGAAAATGTAGAGGGAAAGAAAGAGCCAATGAGAACTGGCAAAGCTAGAATAAAAGGCATCACAATGCTTTGCAAAGATTTAAAACCATGTTTCCCTCTAATTTCCGAACCATTATCACTCTTGATTCCACTATAAGAAACTTCCCCTGCATTTCCAAGATTTTGCCCCAACTTGAAAGTGGCTGATCCAACTTTGCCTACTTCACCTTGAGTTGTTACTCCTCTAGAATTATTGAAGATCAAATTCAAGGTATCAACAACCTGTTTCGGGAAGCTAACTGCATATCCTATCAAGCTAGTAGCCAATGCTGAAAATGCAAAACCTTGAACTGCTGGTAGAGCAGAGGAATTAACAGAGAGCAAGAGTGAGATCGGATCGCTCGAGACATATGAAGCATTGTTCCCAGAAAGTCCCAAAACAATCAAATTCCATGATACAACCATGACTAAGGGAATAGTCCCACCTAGAATTATTGCTTTTCTAGCATCATTTACAGTATTCCCAGCAATTTTACAAATGAAAGGTGTGATTACATGGAACCCCATTGTAAGCACAGCCACAGGAATAGCAGGCAAGATTGAGGAAAATCTCCAAGAAGCAAATCCAAAAGAATTTACAATATTCATTCTCCCAACAAACAGTCCAATTACTACAAGTGATGTAATGGAGAAAAGCATCATAATGCATAGGCACCTATTGGCTACATCAATAACCTTAAAAGGTAACAAACATAAAACTAGTCCAACCAGTGATGGAAACAGTCCATTGGCAATAACAGGATTAATTTTGCAAAACCACTGAGAAATAATTGAACCAATCCCTGAAACACAAGCTACTAACAAAGCAAAAGTTAGTGAAGCATAGACCAAAGCAACAAAAGAACCAATTTTACTTCCTAATGTCTTGGTTGCAAGACTAGTGAAGCTAACTTCATCAACCCCGTCTTCCTCCATTGCAGCAAAACTAAGTTCAGCTACAAGAATGATAGAGGAAATGACATATACCCAAGTCAATAATAGTGCTATAGTTGATGGAAGTGGACCAGATTTTACAGTTAATGCAGGTAATCCCAACATTCCAGGCCCTACAGCAGTACCTACAACCAAACTTACAGCACCCCAAAAGCTTTTTTCCTGAGCCACTTCAATCTTTTCTTCAACATTACATTGTTCATCTGAAAAATTAGCTTCATTTGCATTCAAAGAGACAGCTAAACGTTTGTGCTTTACACACCTAACTGTAAATACTTCCAGAGTGGGGTTATTGAGTACTTGCTTAAAATTTGGAACTTTTGAGCTTTTGCAATGAGTTATATGAGAAGTATGGTGGCTAAAAAATTGAAACTTGAACTGCTGTGAAAGAAGCATTGCTTAGATACCCAAAAAAGAAATTTCAAGATCCCTACACCTTACCACCTTTGATTCAGCTCTTAGTCATCTGCATTGGGTTAAAAGGAACAATCCTATCCCTTATCTATCAGAGTAAAAGTGAGAGAATTATTGCTTGCATTTGACAAGTACCATAGAAAGTACTTAGAAGAATTTTCTATGGATTTTTTTAAGCATTGGGATTATGAGAGAGAAGGGAAAAGAATTACGTAGTAAGTTGTATGCAGAAAATGAAAAGGGTTGGAACTGAGTACTGACTGACTAGTCTACAGCTTCCAGAAAGCAGGGCCCTTACAGTTGAATATTCAGGCGGCGGTGACAAATGGATGTGAGGGTTCCCTTCCTGCCTAAAGCACGTGTTTTCAAGAATCAGTTTTATGGAGTAGTACTCTAGCTTTTTAAGGAGAATCTTATATTATATGATGATTCCTAGACCCTAGCATTAAGGCTAAATCAATGTTTGACCCAACTTGTAAAATTTATTTGTTTTAAAATATAGAAATTTTTAGAAATCACTATTGTTTAGTGGCTATTAACTTTCTATAGCTATCATTTACATAATTACTTCCTATAACTACTATTTAATTATTACGGTAGTGTATTCGCGCTGCTGTATTCATGAATACAACAACAATAAACGCCTAAAATCAGGGCAGTCCAGTTGTACGCGCATGTATTCGCGCTGCTGTATTCATGAATACAGCAGCAAAAAGCGCCTAAAATGAGGATAGTCCAGCTATACGTGCAGCAAAAAACGCCTAAATTCAAGGCAGTCCAGTTGTACGCGCATGTATTCACATGTATTCGCGTTGTTGTATTCATGAATACAGTAACGACAATCACCTTAAAAATAGGTATGTCCAGTTGTCTAATAACGGAAATAATATCAATTAGCGTGATACACTCCTAATATAACTCAACAAAATCAATTCTAACATGCATCATTATCAACCCAATTAATTAAAATGATTTTTCAATTGTATATAACTGTTGTATTTAACTTTTGTATTTAGTGTGTTTCAATATATTTTTTTTACTGTTGCATTCATTAGATTCAATGTTTGTATTTACTGTATTCGCTATTTTATATTCAGTGTATTCAAATAAATTTGTATTAATAGTATGGTAGTTATTCCTAATACATGTTATTACTGTTGTATTCAGTATATTTTATTGGTTGTATTCATTGTATTTCTATTTATATTCAGTATATTTTACTGTATTTTACTGTATTTTAAAATTAAATGTATTCACTGTTTATATTATGTTTTATTTTAATGTTTGTATTCGGTGTATTTAATATTTATATATTGTATTCATGCATGAATACATATGTATTCAGCTATATTAAAAAAATATAAACCTTCAAAATACATAAATAGAGGTAAAAATAATATATTTATATAAAATACAGTGTATTTGAGTGAATTTGTACATAATACAATGTGTTTGTATCATTGTATGTGACTAAATAACAAAGAAGGGAAGAAAATTCGCCGTAGATGGCGTTTTCCGGCCAAGCAAAATATTGTATACATTGTATTAAAACTAAAAATGAAAACGAACAAAAAACCCGGCCCTCAAAATCTTCTCCGGCGTAAAAAATATTGCAGTATCCATATAGAGGAATCCATTGCAATATCCGGCGTAGAAGAAAGCCGCAGTCTCTTTCTTTCTAATATTGCAATACAAATCCATTGCAAATATCCAACGTAGAAACTAAGTAGTACAAATCGATTGCAATATCTAGCGTATAAACTAAGCAGGTATTTTGCTCGAAGAGAGAGAGAAAGAAGAAAAATTTTGTTGGAATTTTGAGAGAGAATCGTGTGTTAATTGAAAGAAAGAGAGAGAGAAAGAAGAAAAAATCTGAGAGGGAATCTTGTATTAATTGAAAGAAAGAGAGAGGAAAAACATAAATAGCGTATTTCATACCTTAATGGTAGTATATACCATAAATACCTATTTTGCTATAAAATATAAAAGGTAACTATAGAAAATAATATTTTAAAATAATTTTGGTTTA